TAGAAATGCAAGTGGTGTGTATACTTATCTTAACAAACTATTACCATGTAGCTCATTGGCTTACCAACGCATGAACTGGTGAGACATGTGTTCACTGTTCTTGTCCTGTTAAAAAGTTTACACTTATATTGTGAAAATGTGTGGTTTGTATTTGTTTATTTATGGTGTGTGTGTGTGTGTGTGTGTGTGTGTGTGTAGGTCAGGGGACAACTTTCAGAAATCAGTTCTCTCTTTCTACAGTGTGGTTTCCAGGGACTGACCTCAGGAAGTCAGGCTTGGCAGCAGGTGTCTTTACCTGATAAGCCATCTCACTAGGCCAAAGTTTAAAAACATTTTTTGTGGCCTTAATTCTTATAATGTTTTCATCTGTCCAGGAAATGAATGTGTCTTCTCTGTTGAATCCGATATTCCATATACATGTGTTAAATCAAGCTTATAGAACATTTCTGGAAAAATAGTTTTTGAGACCAGGGATTGCTACATAATCTAGGTTGGCCTCAAACTCAAAATCATCCTCCCTCAGCCTCCAAGTGTTGGGAGTAAAGCCATGTAACAGTAGCTTGGTTTCAGAAGTAATTTCTTTATCGCAACTAGTTTCATTTTTTGAGCATGATTGTGGTGAACATAACTTAATTCAGAATTATTTTTAAATCAACACAGGACCACAGTAGCCTGAGGATATATAACCTTTGTCCCAAAGCAGGATGGGATGCTCAAATCACAAGCTGGCCAAATTCCACATGAAGTGGACTAACCATTAACATCTGAACTTTGATCTGTTTTAGTCTGTTTATAGCACAAAGCATTATTTTCAGAAGTGAAAGACTCCATCTCCACACAGATATTTCAATGCTTAAGTCCTTTCACCTGCATTACTTAATTTCCTTATCAAGACTAATGGGAACAGGCAAATGTTACAAGAAAGAAACTTTGGTCCCAGAATTTATGTTACACTTAAACCCCCAGATAGAAAGGCCAGCCACAGTTTACTGGGACTGTATAAAACCAAAATGGTTTTATAAATGGTTTTATACTGCAACCATATAAAAATGAAAAACTATTGCAAAACATCAAATTTAAGTCAGATTCACATGTCAGAGGAGACAGGTACTCTCAGGGTCATCTCATCCAGTTTAATTTCCTTGCTTATAGAACTTGGGCCTAAAGTGGTGCTTAATATGGCTAAGTGGAAAGGCTAGAATCTGAATTTGTATACTTCAGGTAGTGTTATTAACCTAGCTGCAGGCAGCTAAGGTCAATTAAACAAAATGCCACCAGCCCTTCAGAAAATATCTTCAGATTGTAGCACAAAAGGTCACGGAAGGCATCTATTTTTCCAAAAGTGTCCAGCTTCATTCATCTCAGTGAATTAGGCAAATGATTTTAGTCCTTAAAAAGATTGTATTGCATAGCTGGGCGTTGGTGGCGCACGCCTTTAATCCCAGCACTCGGGAGGCAGAGGCAGGCGGATCTCTGTGAGTTCGAGGCCAGCCTGGTCTCCAGAGCTAGTGCCAGGATAGGCTCCAAAGCTACACAGAGAAACCCTGTCTCGAAAAAAACCAAAAAAAAAAAAAAAAAAAAAAGATTGCATTGCATAATGGGCACTGAGCTTCTACTACTGCTCTCTAATTCAAACTAGCCTGGGAGTCAAGGACAAGCAATACAGGAAGTGTCCTTGCATGGTAACAAATCGCAAATGGCAAATGCGAAACCTACCCAGGGCTAGAAGAAGAAAAAGAAAAGCACCAAGCACAGACTTGCTCCAGCTGGAGGCGAAGACTACGATAGATACCTGTATTGAGTTACGGTCAGCACAGCCCGGGGATGTGACCCAAAGCCAGGCAAATGCTGATTCAGGTAGGCCTCCAGGGACCTGATGTCGAACTTGTGCTGGGGTAACACTTCCACGGTGTCACTGGTGACATTCCTCTCCATGATTGCCACTGCTGTCCCAGGGTACAGAGATGAAGAATCCACAGAGGACACAGAGACTGCACGGAGGCAGAAACAACACAGAGCTTGGAGGCGTGGCCAAGGCGGGGCTTAGCGGCAGCCAATCGCCTGGACTCTGCGAGGCGCTGCTAAGCTGTGCGGGCAAGGTTGAGCGTGGTGACCTGGGCTCTGGCGGAGAAACGAAGGGAGCGCCTGCTGTGGGCCCCAACTTAGAATTCTCTATCAGCGTCAGAGCTGCAGGGGTGTGTGTGTCTCGATTTTAATAGAAAAACAAGGTCACAAACGCCACTCGGGCGAGTGAAGACATATCAGCCACCCTAGTGTCAACGACGCATCAGGCGGAAGGCCTGTGAGGTCCGGTTATGAAGAGGGTCCGCCAGGACCCTGGGTCCGGGAGTAAAAGACCTCGGTGTTCCTCACGGCCTCCTAGGTTAGAAAGGCAGAGTGGCTGTCATCCTGATCTGGACACACGCGACGCTGGCCCTGCTGCGACCTGGCTTAGCGGTTCTAGAGAAGAACTGTCTTGAGGAGCGTTTTGGTCAAGGGGAGCCATGGCGGTGAAGCACCGGAAGTGGCGCGCCGGAAGACCGGCGGGCGTGGCGGAGACGTGTCTCTCTGGGATGCCTGCAGC